AATGCCACCAAGGAGGGAGCACTCACAATTCTTAATATACCAACAAGATGTTCAGAGCCAGATGGAGTGAATCCAGACCCCAGAAAAAAAGTTCAGACATCAAGACAAAGTGCACTTTGAGGCATTGTTTTTCTAGGTTAGGACAAAACCTGGCTCTGAGCAGCCTGACTGAGCTATATGTGGCCCTGCTTACTGCAGGGGAGTTGGACTGGATAATCTTTAAGGGTCCTTTCCAACACAAATGATTCTATGATTCTATGGACATCATCCTACTACAATTGGGGCTCCTCTTGATCTCAATGCAAGACGAGAGCATAGCAACAGAACTATAGCTACAGCATGGACCACAGAATCACAGAATAACCCAAGCTGGAAGAGATCTATAAAGATACAGCAAGTACCCCATCTACAGCATGGTGGCTTGGTTTCCAGTTGGATCACAACTGAGCACTCACTTGGGCCCCTGCAGCCAACAGGAGTTTGACACACTGTGTTTGCCCTCGCAGGCTCGCCTCATGCAGGGGGGTGATGGAGTCGTAGGTGACGGCGTTGACGCAGGCTCCGCTCTCTATCAGCTGCTGCAGCTGAAGGATTTCTCCCTGCCTGGCTGCTTCGTGAACCGGGGTTCGATCAACCCAGAAGCCTACAGAGGAAAAAAAGATAAATGATTTTTTTGTTTTTGTTTTTTTTTTTAATTCACGTGCAGAGGAGATTCTGTGCTGGATAAAAGCAGCTCTGCTGGAATGGGAAAACAGGCTCATAGACTCACAAACACAGATTAGCTTGGGTTGGAGAGGACCTTAAAGATTATACAGTCTCAACCCCTAAGAAAGAGATGGGAATAAAAAACTTATTTCTTACTGTATCCCCAATCCAGCATGCAATGCTTTGCACTGGGGACTCTCCCTTGGGCTGCTCATAATGCTTCCAATATTTGCTTGAAGCTTTCCTCCACAAACAAGCCCTCCAGCAGGTCTAGATTCACCCTATTGTGTTCACACATAATCAGCACTAGGAGCAATGTCCTTCCTGCCTCCAGCTAAAATCACTGGAAATGGGATGTCAGCAATGGGAAAAGCACAGTCCCACCTATTTTCATGCTTCCTTCAGTAAGGTAAGCTTGTCCTCTCTGCAAAAACACATGCCTCAGTGTTCTGCCAAAGCAGAGTTTATAGGAGCAGTCTGGTGCTGTTTGCTTTCAGGTCAATGACAATAGCAATTGGCAAATGACACCTTAAAACTACAGCTCCTCCCAAACTACATCTCTGTAGAACCTGTTTCAAGGCAAGCACTCACAGCTGTGGGATGGGAGAGAAAGGGCAGAGATGAGCAGAAGCCTCAGCTTACACAGTTTGAGGATGATTTCATAGAAATGTTTGAGTGGGAAATGACCCTTAAAGGCCATGCAGTCCAAGTGCCCTGCAATGAACGTGGACACCTGCAGCTCCATCAAGTGCTCAGAGCCCCATCCACCCTAACCTGGATGGATGGATGGAGCATCCACCTACTTTCTGGGCAACCTGTTCCAGTGCTTTACTACTGTTCCTGTAAAATACTTTTTTTTCCCCTTATCTCTCATCTAAATCTCTCCCTCTTGGCATATTCAGCCTGTTTCTTTGATTTTTCTTGGGGAGATTTAGGAAGACCTTGCACTTGGATTTACTGAACCTCATGAGGTTCTCCTGGGTGCACTGCTTGAGCTGTCTGGGTCTCTCTGAATGCCATCCCATCCCTCTGTGCAAGCATGTTGACTGCACAACACAGTTTGGTATCATCTGCAATCTTGCTGAGGATGCACCTGATGGCACTGCTGACGTCACTGACGAAGATATTAAGGAGCACCAGTCCCAGCACTGACCCCTAAAGGACAACACACATCACTGATCTCCATCCAGCCACTCAGCCACTGACCACCATTCTTTGAGCACAACCCCATAACCATCAAAAGGTCCACCCATCAAATCCATATCTTTCCCATGTGGAGTTAAAGGCTCATAGAATCGCTAGAGTTGGAAGGACCACTAAGATCACACAATCCAACCATCAACCCATGCCTCCAGTGCCACATCTCCACATTCTTTCAATACCTCCAGGGATGGTGACACCCCCCCCCACCCCCACCTCTCTGGGCAGCCTGTTCCAACACCTGACCTCTCTTTCGGGGAATAAATTGCCTTTAATACCCAACCTGAGCCTCCCTGGCACATCTTAAGGCCATCACCTCTCGCCCCACCAGCAGTACAGTATCTCCCAT